ATTACATGATATTGAAAAAGAATTTGAAGGCATTACAAATATATATAAATAAAAGATCTCATGCTAGACAAATACTAGAGATACAAAACTCTTTTCATGATAAGCTTTTGAAGCAAAATAATAATAATAAAAAAAACTCTTTCAAAAGCTTTGGAGCTTTTTTCATTTTACTGTTGAAATCTAAAAAAGCAAACCTCTACCTTATGAATCCTAAATTCATACAAGTTCTAGACCTATCTTTGCAAAGTACCACAAAGCGAAATTGCAAGCACTATATTTACCATGGAAAGCACAATAATAATTTCTAACTATATGAGAAGCTATTTCTACTTTGGCTATGTATGCATCATCATCGTCATCGCTACTGTAGTGGGCATTGATAACTTCATCCTTTGATTGGATATCATCACCATCATTTCCTTCCTCTTCATCCAACCATCGTCCACCAACCATCCTTATTTGGACAGCTGGATCATGGGGAAGCACTGAAATGCTCACTTCATCACCATTATCAAATGTAGGATCATCGCCCCCTAACTTCCAGTGGCTTAGCGATTGGCTTTCACGAACACCATGCACGTACGTAACTCATAGGGAAGGTATGGGCTTGACAAAGCATGGATCGACCGCTGGTATTGTTCCTGATTTCAATAAGAAATCCATCATAGTCACTGTATTCTGACGCCATACAAAACCTTGTGAACAGATTAAAGCCACATATCCGGTGTGCAGGAGGAGCTGAGGATATATTGAATGAAAAGTTATCTACAAACTCGTTCTGAATTAGCCATTTGTCCTCATGGAACCACCTTAACATATCATCTTCAAATACATATACGACAACTCTGAATGTGCGACTATACAAAGCTAGCTGTACCACCAAAACAAAGTCTACAAAATGAGCAAAAGAAAAATATTCAAATGTAGATTTCAAAAACAATAGAACTCTGAAATCTCGATGGCTGTATTTGATCACTAACCGTTTCCATTATTTTGAACATGGGTGAGTCAAACTTTTGAATTAATTCTTGCTTTATACAATCTTGGAACTCGACTAAGTGATCACAACCATCTGCTTTAGTCCACCAGATTAGTTTTGGAATTCTTTGCAGTCAATAGCAAAAGGACACATCCAACGAACCCAAATGGGATGGAAGCTTTGGGAGTGCCTGAAGCATTTTGCAATTTCTTAAAGTCAGGGCTCTGGGTAGACCAAGATCCTTTATCTTAAAAAAAACAAAGGAGTTGCAGGATTGATGTCGAGAGTTCATGATCCACAGCACACCAATAAGCTGAAGTATTCATATATCATTTTCTTAATTTATCTATAAAACAGTTTTGAAGTTATTTCCCAGCAATCAAATCCTCCATGCCCTTTCAGAAAAAATATCTGTACATATGATAAATCTCTATGCTGAAACAACAAAACCGGTTGATGAGGTCATCAATAATTAGTTTCTAACTTTCCCTTCGCTGATGTTCTCTGATCAGTTCACCAATCTACTATTTTTTAAAGAAAATATTAAAATAATATATATATTTTTTTAGTTTTAAAAGTTATTTTTTAGTATCAACGTATTAAAAAAAATTAAAAATATTAATTCAAAAAAAAAAAATTTAATTTTTTAAAATTTTTTTGAAATATAAAAATAAACATAACTGTGGAGCCATTTCCATGTTAGGACTTTTTTATTTTATTTTATTTGCTCAAATCATTTATCACGCGTTTACTAGAGCCAGTAATTCTTGTTATAATTACCAAAAGGGACATTAGACAATCCCTCTTATCAACTCTCACGGTTCTTCTTTACAGGCGATATCCAATAAATCAAGTCATATCTCAACGATCATTAATCAAAATCATTGAACAAATTGTACCTTTTGATCTCAAAGTACCTATTTTTTATGAAAAGAAAGAGTCTCAGTGAAAATTTTAGGATTTTCACTTTTTTATTATTGAATTTTATTTTTATCTGTCTATCTTTTCATTTGATAATTTTCAATAAAAAATGATCTTTAAATTTTTAATTTTGATAATAAAATGATATTATATGATTTTCAAAAAAAAAATTAAAATCCTTTACAAATATTTATAAATAAAAGGTAAAAAAGAAAGAAAGATGGAAGATTACTAGAAATATAAAACTCTTTTTATGATAAGCTTTTTTAGAAGAAAAAAAAATCTCTCATAAGCTTTCAAGCTTTTTATTTTTTTTTATGTTTGAAATCTAAAAACACAAAACTCTACTGAATGAATCCTATTTTAATACAGGTTGAAGACCTTTCTTTGCCAAAAAACACCAAGCGAAATCGCCATCATAAAATTCACTACGGAAAGCACAGTAATAATTTCTAAGTATATGAGAAGCTATTTCTACTTTGGCTACGTGTGCATCTTCATCATCATCGCTACTGTTGGGGGCATTGACAACTTCATCCTTTGATTGGATGTCATCATCATCATCATTTCCTTCCTCTTCATGCAACCATCGTATACCAATCGTCCTTATTTGAATAGTTGGATCATGTGGAAGCACTGAAATACTCACGTCATCACCATTGTCAAATGTAGGATTATCGCCACCTAATTTCCAGTGGCTTAGCGATTGGAGTACAGCATTACCGAGTGGACCACCGAACCGTAATTTCATGCGCATTAGCGATTGGAATTTCACATCATACTCACGCTTGTATCTTGTACAAAGCAAGGATCGACCACTGGTATTGTTTCTGATTTCAAGATAAACATGACTAGAGCCATCGTACTCTGACGTCAAACAAAACCTTATGAACAGATTAAAGCCACATATCCGGTGCGTCCCAGATGAGGATATTTTGAATGAAAAGTTATCTACAAAGTCATTTTGAATTAGCCATTCATCCTCCTCATGAAACCCCCTTAACATCTCTTCATCAAATACAGATACGACAACGTTGAATATGCCATCTATAATTGTGATCTGTACCACCGAAACATTGTCTATAAAATGAGCAAAAGAAAAATATTCAAATGTAGATTTCAAAGAAAATAACATGGGCGAGGGAGGACCTGAAATCTCGATGGCTGTATTTGAGCACTAACCGTTTCCATTATTCTGAACATGTGTGAGTCAAACTTTTGGATTAATTCTTGCTTCATCCGATCTTGGAACTTGATTAATTGATCACAACCATCTGCTTTAGTCCAACGGTTTAGATTTGGAACTCTTAGCAGTGAATAGCAAAAGGACATATCTAACGACCACAAATGGGATGGAAGCTCTGAGAGTGCCTGAAGCAGTTTGCAATTTCTTAAATTTAGGTCAATGAGTAGACCAAGATCCTTGATGCTTTCTGGAAGAGAACGAATTGTTGTTCCACTTAAATCTAGTCTCCTTAAGGAGCGTGGCAGTGAAAACGAGGTAAATCTCAACATTTTCCTCGCTGAAAACCTAGAGGGAAAGAATAGCTTCAATGGAAGAGATGTAAAGTATGATGTACTTGCAACAATGCCATCGCTTTGAAGCAAGCCGCGCCCCTGATGATGCTCTAACTCCATATTCAGGCTGTCAAGATTTGAGCAACCATCTAAAACGAGCTCTTGAACTGATATCAATCTACTCATTTCTTCCGGAAGCTCCGCAAGACTTGTACAATTTCTTAGATTTAAGATCAACAGTCTTTGTAAATCACCAATAGATTCGTGGATTTGAACCAAACGGATGCAGTTTTCAAGTATTAGCTTTTCAAGGGCTGGGAGACCCGAGAAGTCTGGGGTTCTAATGAGATCACGAGAGTGACGGAGATCAAGAATTTTCAATTTTGGAAGAAACTGTGAAAATACATGAATTTAGTTGTTATCAATTCAAAACGAGAGAGATATCTATAGAGAGAGAGACTCGATGCATACCGGTTTGCCTTTCCAAGCATCAACTAGACTGCTTCTGGATAGATCAAGAACCACCAGCTTCTCCAGGCATACGTGATTTGGTATGGATCTCAACGAGAATCCATGCCAACATAACCATATCAAATTCTTAGGGATGTGCTCAAAACTTCCATGGAACTTCGTGTAATTTAGTTTGAGAAATCTTACATCTGACATCTTTCTAAAAGCATCCGTGCTGAAGATGGGAAACAAACTTGTTTGGCCAGTTTGTAATTTTTCCCCATCGAAAAAGTCAGAAAGCCATTGTTGAAAGAAGTTAAGCCTGTGCCGAACCATTGAATCAACACAGACAACTTCTGCAAAATTATCTTCCATTAATGCATGCATATCAATGGTAAGGCCACGTAATTTTTCAGCATCCTGCATTAAAAATATTAGAAGTACATGAGAAAGGAATGAACATGTTAGGTTCAACTTTGCACCGGACCCACTGAATATCATTAGCTAAAAACAGACCCTTATTTCTGGTTGTTACAATGATTTTACTTCCTTTACAAAGCCAATTTTGCATGCCAATGATTTTATTGAATTGGTCCCTTTTGTCCACATCATCTAGAACAATAAGAGTTCTTCTGTAACATAATGCATCCTTAATCTTCAGAATTCCTTCATCTTCATCATTTATCTCATCAACAGTCTTTTTTAGGATGTCGGAAAGAAGTTGCCTCTGTAGGCAAACTATATCCTTTGATCTAAAATTTGATAGGAAGCTCTTTCCTTCAAATTTATGAATATTCTGATTAAAAACACTCTTTGCTATGGTTGTCTTCCCAACTCCACCAATTCCATAGAGTATAGCAATGGTAGCAACATGGGACCCATCTTCCAACCATGAGTTGATATAATTTACTAGAGGATCTCTTCCAATGAAATGAAGGGGTAAATGAAACATTTTTTGATCCAATTTCTTTGAGACCTTCTCCACAATAGATTGGACAAACTGTGCCCCGTACCTACATCAAAAAGTAAAATACAATGTGCGATTATTAGTAGTCTCTCTATAAGGAATAGAAATAAACAACATTTAGCTAAGAAATTAAAGCAGTTTGTGTGTCAATGATTGAAAAAAAAACAACGAAGAAATCTTAAGTATTTTATTTTATTTTTATTATATGTTTTCCTATCAGTACACTTAACTGAAAGAAATTAAGAGTTCACGACCAGCATTCTAGTCTTATGGTATGTGTAGTTTCATCAAGAGATACAACTTACCCATCTCCTAAAACCATCCCAGCTAAATCTGCAACTTCTTTCAAAGCAATCCTCCACCCACTCACCCGCTCCTTCTCCTCGTTGAAGCTCTTTTCATGTTCCACAAATGCTGCAGCGAAGCTCCCTGTTTGACGTCCGACTTGGGATGGATCCACATCATAGAATACTGGCAAAACTAGGCAGTCCACATTCCTCTTACGTTCCATGATCATTACAAGTTCATCGAGGCACCATCTCGACGAAGCATAGTCTTTGGAGAACACGATTATCGATATTTTTGATTCTTGTATTGCCTTCTGGAGCTCGAAATCTATATTCTCTCCTCTCCTAATTTCATTATCATCTCTAAATGTGTGAATCCCTGCTTGAACCAGGGCCGTGTAGAGGTGATCGGTAAAGTTCTTGCGGGTGTCTTCACCTCTAAAACTCAAGAACACTTGATATTTACAATTAGGAAACCGTGGAGAGTAGGATTCTTGATACTTGCCAGCAGCCATTTCGAGTCTAGCAAAGATAAGACTTTTCAAAGATCTGAACAAAAAAAGAAAGGAGTTGCAGGATTAATGTCGATAGTTCAAGATCGACAGCACACCAATAAGCTGAAGTATTCATATATTATTATCTTACTTTTTCTTTAAAACAATTTTCAAGTTATTTCCTAGCTTATTTTGGGCTATTCATTGGGCTTCTCCATTGGAGATGCTCTAATGGAGAAGCCAAACAAAATGTTAAAATGCCTTTTCTCTCTCACAAATGCTATTTCTATATATTTCTTTAAAAAGCCAAAACCAACAAAGTGGGACCACTAAAAAAATAGACCAATTAAATGTAGACATGTGGAAAAAAA